AGATTAATGATACATTTCGATTATTAAATGCGCAATATTTTCGATTTTTTGCAAAATCTCCTCTAGCTAGGCCTTATTACCCACCATTACCTTACTAAATAGTTTAAAAATAAATTATTGATAAAAAAAAAAACTAGAAAACTCAACTAATATTTCGAATTGTTTCCAATAAGCTTACCATAAGAAAATAGTAATTTGACATTACTTACATTATTACTATTATTTCGAATAGATTATTTAATATTATCAATTTAATATTGTTCTAATAGTAAATCTATGTATTTATGTCAAGGCCATAATTGGTTAATAGCCTAGTAATAATTTGGTTCAATTCTGGCTCAAAGATCGTGATGAAGTGCGTATTTGGATGCAGATTTTTACAACTCTTGGACAAGAAACTTACGGCGAATTAATCTTCAGGAATCGTCGAAGAATCGCTCCAGATATTTGACCAAGATTCTTGGGCAAGACTGGGGTCAGAATTCGTTCTGAAAATGGCCAGAAATAGTAGAACTCCCCACCATCACTTTTTGAGTCCAGTTGTGAAGGCAGAAGTTCTCATTTTTACACGCTTTTTATTAGCATCACGTATGTATGTTTGTATGTTTGTAACCGACTTCTTTGAGCGCGATTTTGACCCACTTTAAACGGTCAGATTTCGTTCAAACTTTGTAGATTCATCGAGGACCGATGACAATACACTAATTTGATAAAATTATTTCATTTTTCAATTTGCAAAATATGATTTTTGTTAATTTATATAATTTTCATCTATAGTCGATAAGGTAAGAAACTTCATTTTAATTTTTTATAATTTTTCCCTACAGTCGATAAGACAGCACTTGATGTTAATTTTAATTTCCAATAATTATATTTAGCCGATTTCTCTAATATTGACAAATTTTCGAATACTAAGGAGAATTTTAATTCTACAAAACAAATAATAGTTTTAAAAAACTAAAAAATTACGCTTTTATAAATAAACCAAACTAAAAAGTAAAAAATAAATAATAGTTTAAAAGAACTAAAAACACGCTTTTTATAGAAAACCAAACTAAAAAATAGAAAATAAATTTTTAATAATAGTATAAATAAAAAAAATTTATTTTATTTTAAAAAAAGCGTGGGGTGCATGGTGTCAATAGTTATAAATATTTTATTGACAGATACGAGTAGAGTGATTATCATTTTGATAATATTTTAAAAAGCACCCCACGCTTCTTTTAAATAAAATAAATTTACACTATTATTAATTTATATTTATTGAAATTTTGAACCGTATTCTTAATTCAAATTTATTAAAATTTATTTTCTATTTTTTAGTTTGGTTTTCTATAAAAAGCGTGTTTTTAGTTTTTTTAAACCATTATTTATTATTTCATTACAATAAGAATGCGCACTGTTAGTCTTTTCTGTTTCTCGCGGTTCTACGTCACTATATCCGCAATTTGTTTGTGTTTATCTAAAAAAATGCCAACACATAAGCTTGTTACCGTGTTGTGCTCTTTTATCATGGATTTTGTGTGTGTTTATTCGACAGTAAATCAACACATAGTGTCGCGGATACAATGGCCTCGGACCTTATGGTTTGTTACCGTTTCTCGCGCAAGTCTGGGTCAAACTTCTTTACCAACAATCTGTTTCTGTTTTAAAATCTTGTCCAAGGCTGTCGCCAGTCTGGATGAATAGTCTTGATTAACTGTCTGGCTCAAAAATTGTCCGATTCTGTTTCCAGGGTTTGGTCAACTATCTGGCCAAAGAATCTTGTCCAAAACCAATGTTACAAGGGTAATTATACAAACGACTATTTTTTTTCTTCGCAAAAATAGTTGTTATGACTAACAATCTTTCAATGTCATAAAATTACCGAGCGTAACCAATGTCACTTCAAAAACATTTTGTCTTTTATGTTTTTTCAGCATTTATCCTTATAATTGATTTTCATGATGCAAGTGTAATTTTTCCAGAAGATAAACTTCTAAAACCAGTATTTGATATACTTCTCTTTAATATAAAGAAAGCGGCACTTAACGAAGAAATATTTTAAAAGCATACTACTTTATTTCCTTTGATCAATCTTCACAATAATACATCGTATAATGTGACATAAAAGCCGCTTGAGTACTATCCACAATAAAGCGTCATTAACTTATATTAAAATAATAAACTAAAAAGATTGAAACAATTTTTGCCTTTATCGCAAACAATTTTATTCAACTTTGTAAATCTCAAAAGTCAAGAAAAAAATATTTTATACATCACTTATTTATATTTACATCTATAACAGAGTTAGAGACGCGTATTACTTTTCAAATCGTCAACTTAGTCTCATCCCTTGTGCGGAAAAATGAAAAAATTGTACGTGTCTTTTAAGAAAGAAAAGGCGAAATATTTTTTTTTATCTTAGTTACCCTCGCAATAAAAGATAAAGGATATAAAATAAATAAAAGCCATGGAAGATAGTACAGCGAGGAGATGAAAAGACATTGAAATAAAATACGAACGTTTTAGCAACACTTATTTTAAATTAACTAAGTGTAAATTAATTTTACATTCAAGCAATGGAACAAGAATCATAAAAAAGGTATATTTTTTTAAAAACATCTTGCTAGTTGTGTTTTTTTAATAAGCATGTAATTTTTACGGTTTGTTGGGGGTCTAAAATCTTTCTTTTATCAGTCGGATAATATTTTTATTTTTGAGGCTTTTAGTTTTTTAGTGTTTAATGAGCATTTACTTTTTAATGTGAGTTTTTGTGATAGTAAATTGTAGAGTAAATAAATGATCAGTATAATACTGGAATTTATGATATAGTTGACAATAATTGCATGTAAAATAAATAATAATCATTAAAAAGTATAGTAAATGTTGAATAATTAATTATTAATATTAAAATATAAGTTAGATAATAATTTATCGGAAATATAAAGCAAAAGAAGACAAAAAAAAATAAGACTTAGGAAATTGACAAATGCTTGATTTTTTAAAAATAATTTGTCAATTTTTCAACAGATCGAATTTCATGTTGAGAATTTTGGCAACTCTCTTTATTACGTTAAATGCTGCTAAGTATTGTACAGTAAAAATGAAAATTTCTTTTGAAAAAATTGGGTAAAAAAAAGTTTTTGGTTTGGAAAAAAAAACAATTTTAAATAAACTTGCGAAATTTCATCCAAAACATTCGTTTTCTATAGGGTAAATGCACCAGTGGTTGACCGGTCACCAATTAGTTGACCGATGTATAAAAAAAGTTAATTAATTAATATTTTACAAGGGTTTTTTTTCTTATAGTATTAAAATAAAAAATATGGCATTTAATCATCATAATAAAAAATTACGCAATTAATTGCGCAGTGATTATAGCTTTAAAAAAATATTCTGAGTTTGTTTACAACGCAACCAGCCATAAAGCGGTCAAAAATAACTAGCGTACAATTGGAGAGTCAGTGCATTTCATCATTAATTTAGTGATATTTTTCGACATAATATAAAATATTTTAGTTTTATTATGTTAATTAAAGATCAGATTCCAACTTTTTTGAAAAAATAAAGTTAAATTATAAGTTTTAATATTATTTTAAGACCGGTCAACTATTGGATCCGTCAGAAGCCCTTTACCCAGTAAAAAATTCATTCGGTCATTTATTAGACCCTCTGATTTTATTACAACCCAATTAATGACCGTATATTTATAATACTAACTTCTCAATCTCAAAATTAAATCTGTCAAGTGTTTAAAGTACTTTAGTCATTCAATATTTTGTAAATATAAAAATAATCATTATAAAATGTATATTTATAATTAAAATAATACTTAAAATCTTTTTTGATTATTAAATTTTATTTTGTTCTAATTTTTTTAGTGAACGGTTATATCAAAGAACGAATCATTAGAAGAAAAAATTGCTAAGCAATTAAAAAAATAAAAAAGAGTTACAAGCTATAGTAAAAAAGCTTCAATTGAAAAAAAGAAGGAGAAGAATAAAAAAATTTCAAGTGAATCAGAAGAATTATCGTCATCAAAATGAATTTGTGATTATTTGTGACCTAAAGAAATGTGACTTTATGTTAATTATTGCTATTATTTATATTATTTTATAAAAAAGTACGATTTAAAAATATATTGTATGTTTAGTTTTGTTAAAGATGTCGTTAATACTTCAAAAGTACTGCATAAATTTAATTACATACATGTAGTTTACAAAATTACTTATAATTATTTGAGCGGTCAATTAATTGGAGAACGGTCGGTCATTTATTGGGTTTCTTCGGTCAATAATTGGTGATTTTAGTATTTCAACATTCAAATAACAAAATTAATATAATTTTGTTAATTTTTATTATAAATAGTTATTGATTATTATTAATTAAGTATTTAACTTTAATAAAATCCATTACATATTGTTTTTAGTAGGTTAATAGATTTTTTATAGCTTAGTACAGAAAAAGAAAACCTTAATCGGTCAATAATTGGTGCATTTACCCTATCCAAACAATTTTTCTTCAACAATACCCATTTTTTCAAAAGAAATTTTTTCTGTCAGTGTAAAATTGGTCGCTAATTATTTTTGTGATTATTAATTTAATAATTGATAAATGTAGATAAAAAATTCAGTTCACGTTTATTCAGTAAGCTCCAGAGAATTTAATTTAAACGAACTTTTTGAATAAAAATGTTTTAGGTTTTTTTCTTCTTCATTCTAACAAAAATCAATTGATAAATATTTTCAATTAATGTTAATAAAATTTGATATTCAAGGGGTGGATACAAATTGGTTAACATCATAACGATGCAGTTGGGGTTGGGCTTTCGAGAATACTTTATATCAATCTGGTACCACCCACCGCGTCTATCGCGCGTGTCCAAAGACGTAAGCTCTAAGTTTTTGTTTTTCCCGTTACTGATAACGATTAAAAAAATTCTTGAATTTATATTTTTTTAGTTTCACAATTTTTATTAAATTAATTTATAGTCAACAACAACAACAACTACCATTTTCTTAACTTTTAACGCACATATTTATAGCCACAGAAACAAAACCGGGATTGCATTGACATTTAAAGTCAATGCACTGTGTGTTCTCTGTCATGCATTGATCATCTCTCCAGCAATTTCCGCCCAGAGTTGACAAGCAAGTCAAGTCATTGACAGCAGTATGATTTGCGTTGCAGACACATCTGTTCTGGAAATACTGTGAATTCCACGGCCCGCCACAATAAAGTGAAGTATCACAATAATACAGCCCCAAACCTGCAGAACAATTTTGTGAAGCATTTTTCACGACCAATGAATAAAATAGCCTGTACTTACGATTTGCGCACATCGTATTAGTGATTGCCATCCAATTAGAAATGCATTGACACTTATTCTCAAAGCAGTGAGATTCGTTGATGCCGAAATCGTCGGAAGACGAGCAATCGGTGTTCAACAAGTGGGTACAGGCTAACGGGGTCAATGCAAATGTGTCGGGTTTGCACGCACATTTATTGTCAATGCAAATTGCATTTGGTATGTTCTTACAATCATAATTTGTTCCACATGCACCGCCTAACGTGGCTAGAAATACAATTTTTAGGAGTACTGTAACCGAAAATGAGGTTGCATTGATAACGAGTATCAATGCAGCTCAAATTTAGTCTTTTTCAAATTAAAATACTGCAACGCATACTCAAGAATCAATCAATGTAAAGTCTAGTGATAATAGTTGTCTGTATTGACATCGAGTGTCAATGCAGTTCAAGTTCGGTCATTAGCTCAAGATCAAGGTGACAAATCACATACTTGTAAAGTAAATAATTGTACAGTATCGTTGGCGAAATTAGAGCTGCGTTGACACTCGATGTCAATACAGACTAGATCGTTGTCATTGATTCAAAATTCAGGTTATATGTCACGAACTTGGCAGACAATGTGAGGCACATTGAATAATTTGAACTGCATTGACATTAGGCATCAATGCAAATAAAATTGACTGTTAACTTAAAATTGTCAAAGTGAATCTTATTCTTACATGGTACGCAATCATTGTACAGCCCTGGAACAAAACCTTGGCTACATTGACACGTATTGTCAACGCAAACAGAATTATCAATGGTGTAGGTTGCGTCAATAGTACAATACGCTTCCAGAATAGGAGTACATACTTTCCTGTCTATGGTGATGTAATTTTTATTACAAGCGCAGAATTGAAACCTTGAACAGTGTGTGTTCACAATTTCACAGTCATCGTTACTGTAGCAAATGACGTCAAGGATAGCTGAAAGTATCGATAAAAAGTGACGATGCAATAGCTGTAACCGACAACATTCAGTATTTACTCGATACCCACTCAAACTGGGATTGCGACACAAAAGTCTCCAAGCATTGACACTTATTGTCAACACAGTTCGAATTGTAGACAGCACACTCTTTGTGTTCCGTGCAGTTTGCGCCAATCAGGGGCAAGCACTTCTGGTGGCCGAACTTTGTGTACCCTCGCCTGCATTGACATTTTTTGTTGAAACACTCAGCGTTTGATATTTTATCACAATGATTGTCCATGACACACTTCTGACCCAGGAACACTGCACGGATTCGTTCAGAAAATTAATTTCCAACAAACGGGCATTGTTAATCGCTAATTCTGGCGAGGTAGAATGCTACTGCATCGTCACAACTTACCAGGTAAGCAGAGGTCATCAGAGCGCTGCGTGTATTCTGCGGAACAGCGACATCGGCTCTTGAAACACTCTGCATTGACAGTGACACACTCCCTGTCGCTCTCGCAGTAGCCTCCCAAAGTTGGCGAACAAGTTTTTGGGCCAGTTCACACGTAATTCTTATGGCAGACGCATTTTCCAGCGTCAGAACACTTTGCAAAGCGAATGTCAATGCAGTCCTTGTCAATTCTGCATCGCTGTTCCAGGTACACTAAAAGCAAGTAAATTAGCAAAAAATCTTAGCTGACGTCTGAAACTTACTTAAGACACACTCGTAGTTGGACTTCGGGAAGTAACTGAACTTGCATTGACACTTATGATCAATGCAGACCGAGTTCGCAGGAGCGCACTCCAGGTTATCGGAGCAGATGGCGTTGAGCACTGGAGAGCATTTAAATGGATTTGTTTCAACATAGTTGTCCTTGCAACTGCATTGATTCTCAAAGCAATGCGCGTTTTTTTATCATACTGCAAGTTATTTGGTCAGAACAAGTCGTCCCTAGTTCCGCTAAAATTATTTTCAAATCAGATGATAATTTTGTTGGTCAGATAAAATTATTGTTACTCACTTGCAACGCATTGACTCTCGGAATATTGTATGTAGTTTCGATTACATTTACAAGTTTGTTCAAAACAATGAGAAAATCTGACAGTACAATCTTTATTGGTAATGCAAGGCCCACCAACAGCTGCTGTGCAAGTTGCATTGACAGCGAAGAATCCGGCAGTACAAGTGCATTGTCCATTTAAACACATTGCAAACTTCACTTCCGAACAGTCTGAATTCTTACTGCATCTTCCTTTCAATTGTTCTGTATTGACAATGTTAGTAAAAATTTGACAAGATTGTAAAAATATTAATTTAAAGTTTTTACTTGGCAGACATTTTGACTCCCGCATCACATAATTGGTCCTGCACTGACACCAACTGCCAATACAAATAGATTCAGGGTCCGAGCACTCATCGGTTGTTGAACAATACGAGGTTATCCCTGGTAAGCATGAATTTTCGTTCTTCAGCAAGTAGTCCAGTTCGCATTGACAGGTTTTGTTATAGCAGTATGAATCGCTGCTATGAGCATGACACTGGTTTGACACATTACAAGGCATTCCTATGAAGGCTGCGGAAGAGAAAGCCATAAGCAATAGTTGCCTCACTTCATTGACTCTCAAGATCAACGCACTTGGGGTTTACAGTTACTGTCACTCTCATGGGAATATTGTTATTGTCAATTAAAGTGGGTAATATTTGACTGCACTGTCATTCGATGTCAATGCAGTAATTTCCCCTAAAAAATCAAACTTACTGAGTCTACATTCGATCTCAGAGTAGGCAAAATATTGAGCTCTGCATTGACACTTATTTTCATCACACCAAGATTTTTTGGCAGCACAATCTTCGTTAGCTTGACAAATTCCTCCTAAACGTACCAAGCACATCCTTTCATTGATTGCAATTGCATTTTCTGAGCAGGCACAAACTTTGTTAAAAGTGTCAAATTCTGCGAATTTGACACTTTTGCACGCTGCATCGTCATTGCATTTTGATCCAATTACAACTGCAAGCACAGATTAATGACTAGTGTCTTGCAAAATTAAGTCTGACTTACCTGGCAAACACTCGTTGGCCTCCGCTACAAATCCGTCTCTGCATTGACACTTATTATTAATGCACAGTGAATTCTCCGTCGCGCAGGTCTCGTTTTTCCAACAATAGCCATTCAAAATTGGGATGCAGGCGTAGTCGCTAGCTCTGACGTTCTTTTGTCGACACACGCACTTGTTCTTTAAACATACGGAGTGCACAATGTCAATGCAATGAAATGTTTCACGGCACGAGTCGCCCAGTTTTGCTTTTTCTTTGCACTTGTATATGCTGACAGTATTTGACCGATCGCACTTGAGGTTTTCACCGCAGCAACGACGATGCTGGTCACACTGCAAAATAAATTAGTGCATTGACGCTCTAAGTCAACACACTTTAGGTGGCCAAAGGGTTATACTTACCGTTCCGCCAAATTCTACGCAGGTCGTTGGTGGATCGGTTTGCGCTGCATTGACGCACAAAATCAATGCAACTCCTGCTAGGATGATTACAGTAATGTGACGTGGCATTTAGGCGCGATTTTGACCCACTTTAAACGGTCAAATTTCATTCAAACTTCGTAGATTTATCGAGGACCGTTAACAATACACTAAATTGATAAGATTATTCCCTTATTCAATTTGCAAAATAAGAAATTTGTCAATTTATATAAATTTTATTTATAGTTGATAAGGCAGGAATTGATGTTAATTTTAAATTCCAATCATTATCTTTAAATGATTTATCTAATATTAACAAATTTTTGAATACCAAAGAGAATATTAATTCAACCAAATAAATAATAGTTTAAAAAAACTAAAAAACACGCTTTTTATAAAAAGCCAAAATTTCATTGACAGATATAAGAAGAAGGATTATCATTTCGATAATATCTTAAAAAGCACCTCACGCTTTATTTTAAATAAAATAATTTTATCTTATTTACACTATTCTTAATTGAAATTTATTTTCTATTTTCTAGTTTGGTTTTCTACAAAAAGCGTGTTTTTTAGTTTTTTTGAATCATTATTTATTGAATGAAATCTTACCCGAGTCTTCAGTAGAAGAAGTCTGTGAGATAACTAAGTGGGAATTATCGAAACTAGTTAAGTGCTTCGACATAGAATTTATCACTGTCATTAAACCGCTGGTTAAAGTACATTCTTAATAGCATTCTTGGTTAAGCATCGATATAATTTACAGAAAAATAAAGTTAACGACACTTATGTTCATTTAAAACTTTATTTTTTTCAATTTATCTAAATTCTATGAGAAAATGTTTTTTTCAAAACGAACTTAATTTTTCTGTTTATTGGTTGGATATGATAATTTGGTAGATAGTCCAACAAATTTTGGTTGAATCTAGCATGATTTCTTCGGAGGAATATTTTTGTAATCAGTAAAAATTTTTGTATCTCCATTAGTTTTGGAGATATCATCGATTAATCAAAAAAAGTACGAATTTGAATCGATCATGATTAATCCGGCTGTTTCTCAGAAACTATTGGCCCTACGATGATTAACCTCAGGAACAAAATTGTAGCCCAGAAAATTTCCTAGAAGATCTCAATTCAACTTTCCGAATTTTCGAATGAAAAATCGATAAATTTTCCATTTTTCAAGAAGTAAAAAAATAAATTAATCAAAAAATGTAATTTATTGCAAAATTTGTGGTTTTTTAACGTTGGGAATTTTTATCTAATGACTAATTGTGTTACGGCCAACGTTACTACGATTTATTAATTAGAACCCCACTTAGTCAAAATTATTTTTGTATAAAGCTCTTGGATAGGCTGAATCAAGACCAGATGAGTTGGAGCACCAATCCGAATGATGCAAAACGTCATCGTGGTCTTCCTACACTTCTTTTCTTAAAATATATATTTTCCCAGTCCAAGCAAATCAATAATTATAGTTTGATTTTTAGCGTTGCGTTTAAAATTTACCATTTTACTTTGTAAATATTGACGTTGCTTGCATAGAAATTTAGTAACTGTAGTTTATATTTTTTACATATCATGCGATCATTTTTTAGGTACGAAATGATAAATATCAAGGTCAAAAATATTAATTATCATTCTTTAACATTTTCGACTTTCACATAGCGAATATTACGGTTTGAAATAGTATTTTTTTTCATGTAAATAATAAATTGTAGCATTTAAATAATAAATATTATAAAGTCATTGTTAATATCACGATTTAACTGTTTGAAATGGTAATTTTTTCAAGTTGATGATTACTTACTATAAATCGACTATCACGGAGAGAAAAATGTGGAAATCATTCCTATAATTTTAATGAAATATTTTCCTATACAATTTTAGGAGCGATTACTTAAATTATGGGAATTATACCCATAATTTTTGAGAAACGTTACTATAATTATGGGAATGGTTCCTATAATTATAGGAACGATACCTATAATTATAACTGTAATATCGGCATAATTCCCATAATATATAGGAATGGTTCCTATAATATATAGGAATAGTTTCCATAATATTATAGGAACCATTCCTATAGTATTATGGGAACCATTCCCATAATATTATAGGAATGATGCCAATAATATTGGTGTAATTTTTTTTCACACAACTGTGGTATTTAATTAATTACTTTTCACTAGATTTATTTTTTTTTGATTAAGTGATTCTTTTTTTATAATATATAAATTGATAAAAAAAGTTATCAGTAATAATATTTATCATTATTATCATTATGAAATTAATCAATTGCAGCAGTTGATATTTTTTTAATCTTGAATCGTATACATGCTTGTAAATTAAAA